ATGGTGGTGGCCGTGGGTGCAGGGTGGCTGGATGGGGTGCCCATGGCGTGGTCCCCGTTGGGCAGCTCACATCTGCATCCCTTTGGCAGTGACCGACCTGGAGATCAAGTTCCAATACCGGGGCCGTCAGGTCTGCGTCCTCACCATCAGCAACCCCCACGGCTGCCGCCTCTTCCACAGCAGCCTGGAGCCCACGCAGGAGCAGGTGGAACTCTTCGGGCCGCTGACGCTGGAGCAGGTCCGCTTCCCCGCCACCGACGCCATCCCCAACGAGAAGCAACGTTTCTACACCCACCAGCTCCTGGACGTGCTGGACCGCGGGCTCATCCTGGAGCTGCAGGGCCAGGACATCTACGCCATCCGCCTCTGCCAGTGCAAGGTCTTCTGGACGGGGCCCTGCGCCACCCACCGCGCTGGCCCCAACCCCATCGAGAGGGAGAAGAAGACCAAGCTCTTCAGCCTGGAGGGGTTTCTCAACGGTGAGAGGAGAACGGGGTTGTCCCCCCGTGCCCTTTGAGGACACGGGGTGGGACAGAGGGACCAAGTTGGGATGGGGGGACACCAGCTGGTACATGGGGACCTGATGGCGTGGAGGGACCAAGCTGGGATGGGGAGATATGGTGGCATGGGGGGACACCACCCAGCACAAGGGGACCAGCTGGGATGGGGTGACACCAGCTGGGATGGTGGTGGGACAGGCTGGCGTCCGGCCCCGCAGGCCTCATCCTGTTCCAGAAGGGCCAGACCACCACCCCGCCCCCCTTCGAGATCTTCTTCTGCTTTGGCGAGGAGTGGCCGGACCAGAAGCCCAAGGAGAAAAAGCTCATCACGGTGCAGGTGAGGGGACAAAGGCTCCCAGGGACGGGGACAGCCCGGGGCTGTCCCCCAGGTCAGGACGCTGCCCAGAGGACACGGGTGGGCGTCCCCACGCCATGCCGTGCCAGCTGACGTGGCGAGGGACTCTTGCAGGTGGTGCCGGTGGCGGCGCGGCTGCTGCTGGAGATGTTCTCAGGAGAGCTGTCCTGGTCGGCCGACAGCATCCCCCTGCAGATCTCCCACCCCGACCTCAAGGACAAGATGGTGGAACAGTTCAAGGAGCTTCACCAGCTCTGGCAGAACCAGCAATGGCTGCCACCGGCACAACCAGAGCCCGGCCCCACCGCCGGACCCTGGGTGCTGCCACCTGGCTCCCTGCCCCAGTGACGAGGGGACACGGGGCTGGGGTAGGGGGACACAGGGGCCACCCACCGCAGCGCCCGTTGGGGTGGCGTTTCCCACGCTGTCACCCCGTGGCTGTCCAGCTGCGTCCACCCATCCCCATCCCTCCGGAGCTGCTGGTGACAAGCATCCACTGGGTCCCATGATCACATCCTGGCCATGATCACCCATCCCAGGAGGAGAAGTTGGACCCCCTCCCTTCTCTCTGGGGCCACCCAGGATGCGAAATGGCAGTTTTGGGGTGAAACAGCAAGAAAATGGGGCCACACTGGACCCCTAGCGCCGGTGGGGGTGGCTGCACTCCCTGCAGCTCAGGGCACCCCAAGCCAGGCACGGCCCTGAGAGAAGAACCAGGCCGGAACTTGGGGTTTTAATTTATTTTTTTCAGTTTTTTGTTGTTTTTATTGTTCTCAAGATGGCTACACACCCCCGGAGGGAACAGCATGCGCTCTAGCTGTGCCCACGGGCCCGCGCCCGCCCTCTCCCAGCCCCGTCCCTGCACTCGCTCAAGCCGTCTCCTCCCCGCGCGATCCGACCCTAAAATAAACCAAATAAAAGCAATAAAAAAAAACCCAACAAAAAAAACCCAACCAAAAAAAACCAACCCAAAAAACCAAACTAAAAAAGAAGAAGAAGAAAAAAAAATAATAGAATATATATATTTAAACAGTCTGTCCCGCCTGCATCTTCTCCGGGAGGTCACCACCAGGCAGGACACAGCGGGCTCGGGGAGGGCAGAGCCTGCAGCCACTGCCTTTTCCTAAATCTATTTTAAACCCCTATCTTTCCTGAAATAATTTCTATTGTTTGTTTGTTTGTTTCGGGTTTGGTTTTTTTTTTTTTTTCTCCACTTCACAGAAAGTTTTCTACTTCGCACTCTGGTGCGGGTAAATCCATTTTCCTCCGGTGTCTGGTGGCGGTTTGTTGGTGTGTTGGGTTTTTTTGTGTGTTTTTTTTGTTTTGGTTTTTTTTTGTGATTTTTTTTTCCCCCCGTTGGTTTGTTTTCTTGTTTCGGTAGCCGATGTTCGGGAAGCGAATCCGCTGGGAAAGCGGGATCCTCGAGCTGTCCTCCCGCACGCACGCGCAGGCCCCGGCTCTCCTGGCTGGCGGGACGCGCTGGAGTGAGTGAAAGCCCTCGGCCACGATGAACTTTGCTGATTGTGGGACACATTCTTGGTTTTCTTCGTTTCCTGTCTTCTAATTAAAAGACAGTCCTGGGAGGGGGAGAGAGGGCTCATTCCTTCTTCCCACCTGCTTCTCCCGCAGAGTTGCAACCCCACAGCCCGTAGTGCCACCACCGTCACCATGGGGCAGGGTCACGGTCCCTGTGGCCACTCGTGGTCCCATCGCCAGCTCTTACCTGGGAGACGGGTGCCGTGCCGGAGCAGGAGCTATCGGAACAGGCGGGTGAAGTCCCTCAGAGCCCAGCAGACTTGTTTACATTCCTCAGCGCTGCAAAACAAGGGGTGACACGGGGAGGGGGTGGTGTGTGTGTGACATTAGGGGGACGTTTGGGAAGAGGGGAAGGTGTCCTCCGCCCAGCACAGCCCTGTTGGCACACGATGGCGGTGGGGACCGGGAGCCAGGAGCACGGTGGCTCGGCTCTGAGATGTTGGCAGAGATGTAGGGGCAACCGTTGGGATAAAATGGGCTCGGCAGCCCCCGGACCAGCTGAGGGGACCTGCGTGCCACTACGGTGGTGGCTGGATGAAAGGAGCCAGCCGCCCCTGGGGACGAGCACAGCAGGAGACTCAGGTTCCAGGATTTTTTCCAGGGCTGGGCAGAGGGCGAGGGAGCGTTTGGGTGTTGAGCAGCCGATGCCCCCAAACCAGCCGGTGACCCCGCTCATAGAGGGGAGGACAGCGGGCACCGGCTGGCTGGAGCAGGCTGCAGCTTGCTGGGCTGATCCTGCTCTCGCCCTGGGGCAGGACCCGGCTGTTGGAGCAGCTCGGCCGGGAGCCGGTGACTCACAGGGCCGAGGAGATGGAGGGAGGGCGGACGGCAGGATGGCTTGCGAAAGGAGGGATGCTGGCTGTGCAGGGCTCGGGCAAGAGCAGAAAAACCTGTTCAGTGATGGAAAAGGCAACACGTGCCCTCCAAAGCAAGGCTTTCTGCAGCCCGTGTTGTACTGGGAACACCCCGGATGAGACATCCGAGCAGATTCGTGGGCAGGGGCCAGTGGTGACATCCCACCAGCACGCTCAGCTCTTGCAGAGATGCTTTGGGGCTGCTGGAGGACAACCCGTGGCAAGCAGCAGGTAGGACTGAGCCTTGTAGGACACCAGGGTGCACAGCCCACAGCCCAGAGAGGAGCTCACAAGGGAGACAGAGCTGCGGCCGCATGCCGCCCATTGCCATCCTGGCTCCTGGCATTACAGCCTACCCCGCTCCGGCACGCTCACCTCGTGACCTGCTTGTGGAAGTCCGTCAGCTGTTTGTGTGTGACCTGGATGGCTCCTCCCGTCGTTTCCTTTGGTAAACCCTTCAGCGAGTTCTCCAGCCAGCGACAAAACGTCTGGAGGAAGCAAGAGAAGGGAGAAGCTCAGGATATGGAGCCAAACCTAGCTTCCCCACGTTCTGGCTTAGGGGAGGCTTTGGGATTTGGCCCCACGTGAGCCCATGTGCATGCCAGGATGGCTCAGGCCCCCCTGCGTGCCCTTTCGGGGTACATCCCGTCCCTCTCACCGGCCGGTCGATCTGCATGATCTCCCAGAGCACCTCGGCAACGTCAGGCAGGGTGTACGGTGGCAGGCAGAAGCAGCACGTGTGCAGCAGTTGGTTGACGAGCTGCTGGCCCAGTTGGTTCATCACCTGGCTGATGAGCTCCTTCCGTACTTCGAAGTCCTCCTCGTGCTGTGGGAGGAAGAAGAGGGGGGCAGTGAGCAGCACCCTGGGGACATGGACAAGCTGCTCCTTGCTCTGGGAGCGACTCCCAGAACATCTCCGCTGGCAGCGGTGGAGTAACTGTGGTAGCTTGGCTACGGCAGCGGGACCGGCCTCTCAGGGGACCGCGGTGACAAACGCCGATGAGGATGGCACCCCCAACTCTGCGGAGGAAGACCCCTGCCCCGAGGAACGACGCCACGGGTCACTCACGTCGTTGGCCACCCCGGTGTGGATGAGATCACGCAGGAACTTCATGACGCTGCAGTTGGCGTCCCGGTGATCCAGGGTGGTGGCGGCGATGGCCCACTGAAGGATGGGGATCATCACCTGGCTGCGTAGCAAGGTGACAGGGCTGCGCTGGATAAACCTGGCCGGGCAGAGGACAGACGGACGTTACCGGCACTTGCCTGGCTTCCCGGCACCCTGCCTATCCCTGTGTGCTGGTGGGAAGGCAGCACCCTGCCTTCTCCCACTTGCCCACGGAGACGGGAGCGCTCCCAGGGGCGCGTGGGGACCCCTCCACAAGGAGAGAAGGGTTGGTTGGGGTGTCCTCACGCAGCAGCAGAAGGCGACAGGAGAGCGTGGGTACCTGGCTGCTAGTCGGAAGAGGTCGTCCACAGTGTCCGGGTGGTTCTGAAGGCCATTGGGCTGCTCTAGGAGTTGGAAGGTGGGTATGCATAGCGCCTAGGAGAGGGGTCGTGGGGATCTGTTAGTAATTAACTATGATTACATCTCAAACTGCCTTTCTCTCTGCAGGGAGATTTCTAGCAGGGACCACACCAGAGTGGATCACACCCTGGCTTCTCCTCCTGACAGCCACCGTCACAGCTGAAAGGGCAGGTCTGGATCTCTCCTCCCGATGGGGTACGTGCCCCAGAGCAGCAACACCTTCCTCAATGACTGAGCTCCTCCAACGAGAAGCCACTCACCAGTTCTGCTTTAACCAGAAACTTCTCCTTGCTTTTGTTCAGCCAGCCACCAACTTACACAAGAGCAGAGAGGTGTTGGGACCAGCCTAGGTTTCTGGGGAAACTGCTCTGCTTCGTACAAACCCTCTGGGCACCCACAGCACAGCCTTCCCCACGAGCAAAGAGGGGTAGTTACTGTGCCAGCACGTAGAAACAAGAAGGGCAACAAAGTTGGTGAAGGGTCTAGAGCACAAGTCTTATGAGGAGCGGCTGAGGGAACTGGGGTTGTTCAGCCTGGAGAAAAGGAGGCTGAGGGGAGACCTGATCGCTCTCTACAGCTACCTGAAAGGAAGTTGTAGTGAGTTGGGGGTCGGTCTCTTCTCCCAAGTAACAAGAGACAGGATGAGAGGAAAGAGCCTCAAGTTGTGCCAGGGAAGGTTTAGATCGGATATTAGGAAAAATTTCTTCACCAAAAGGGTTGTCAAGCATTGGAACAGGCTGCCCAGGGAGGTGGTGGAGTCACCATTCCTGGGGGTATTTAAAAGACATGTAGATGGGGTGCTTAGGGACACGGGTCAGTGGGACTTGGCAGTGCTAGCTTAATGGTTGGACTCGATGATCTTAAAGGTCTTTCCCAACCTAGATGACGATTCTATGATTTAGATACACGGGAACCAAACCCATCACCTCTCTGCACCCACCTGCAGCATGTCGAGCAGTCCCTGCCGGCAGCCTTCCTCCATGCCATACTCGTCCACCAAGATGCTGCCCAGGTAGAGGAAACAGGAGTGCTGGTGCGCCCGGTACACATTCACCATCTGCGGGGAGACATGCACCGCCTGCCACCGCGAATGCCGCCTGCCCACTGCCAACACCACAGGCAGCGGCAGGTCCGGCACAGAAACTGCTGCGACTGTTTCCACCAGAGAAGTCCCTGCGTGCCGCTCGCTGGGGCCCAACGGCTGCAGGATCTGGCCGGGAACCTGGCAGCCCCCCTGCCACGGCTGGGGATTTCCTTGGCCAGCCCCACACTTCCTGAAGGGCTGGACCTACCGCAGAGACCCCAAACCAGCTGCACCCCAGGGGCACGGTCCTCCTGGCTTCCTGACGGCGAGGGGCTGTAGCCCCCAGCTCCGATCCACAGGCGAGCCATGGAGGGGTGAAGCCGTACACTCGTTACCTCCCACCGCC